CCTAAAGCCCTAAATCCCTAAAGCCCTTAACCCACTGAGCCTTTTGGAAACTAAGGGCTCGCAGTGGGTCCGAGCGACGGTGGACGTGCCGGTTCAGGCGCGGGGCCGCGTGCATTCTAGGACCGCGGAAATGTTCTATTGTATCGTCTTTTAATCTGTTGTAGTATACTGCAGTACATTATTACAACTGTTTTGGTAATATCTGGTATCTGATCTGTAAGGTTGGGGTTTCCGCTCTCTGAACACGAATCTCCAAAGAAGTCTCAAGGCCATTGGTGCTGTGATCGGCGCCGGTGGCGCCACCATCCGAGCCATGGAAGCCATGCGTGGAGCCCGGGTTTTAGGTTTGAGGGGGAGCTTGGGTTTGGGGTTTGGAATTTCGAGGTTTCAGGTGTCGACTGCGGGTTGCGGGGTTTAGGTTGGCTTTCGGTTTGCCGGCTCAGGGTTTCAAGGCCCATCTTCCAGTCCGGAAGGCTTTAGAGCGGCTTGGGGTTTAAGAAAGCTGGTATTGTAGATGGGTCCCACAGAGGGAAGACAAGGCATAGCGCGATGCCGTTTGAAGCACATCGGGTTTGGGAGATTCGGCGCTTTTGAAGATTGCTGCACGCTCGTTTGCACAAAGCACCAGAACCCGAAGTCTCCTACACTCCTGAATCCCAGGAAGTTTGGAAACGGTTCGTTTTGTTTGCGAGGTCGACGGCAAGTCTTCGCATCGACCGTGACCGGAATGGCACAGGCTCTCCGACTTCAGAAGTGTTTTTTTTGATCCTCAAAGCTTCCGTCCCAAAGACCTCTTCCATGGTTGGACTTCCGAGACTCCGACTCCGACAGCGCCATCGGATCCATGTGCGCATGTACATAACAAACAGAGTGATGGAATTGAACCCGCCCAAAACACCACGAGGGGATGGTCCCTCGGGGCCCAACTTGATATTGACATGGGCGTGTATATGTATGTGTACGTATCTATCTATCTATCTATCTATCTATCTATTTATATATACAGACATACATAAACGCCGCATGCACATACATGTATATGCATGTATGTGATTTGCAAATAAATACGCCGGTGTACCTATCTATCTATCTGTATCTATCTATCTATCTATATCTATATATATATATATATATATAGATATATATTATTCGTATATATACGGCTTTTATATGGGCTACCCAGGGTATGACTTGTATTTTGTTCTTTTTGGGCTTGTCGTCACTTTTCAAGAGACATCATGAAATCGACTATGTTTATGACCTGTTGCGGAGTGACAGGTTCAGTTCCTGTGTTTTGAAACCAACCTCACACCAAAGCATTGTTCACACAGCTCTGATAAGTAGTACATTGGCCATCTCCCAAGGTTGCGGTGATGCTCCTGACCATGGTTGACTGAAACCTTTAGCCGAAACCCAGGTGTCAAGAGAATGTTTTGCGGAGGTGCTATGGCAGAGTGCCACATCAGCGGCTCGGCGGAAGCCGTAGCCAAGGCCGGATGCGGCTTCAGTTCGGAGCTGTGTTCAGCAGCAGAATCATACGGGTTGACGGTCACTAATTCCTGCGTGCAGGGTATCGACAGTCAAGGATTTGCAGGCTTGCGAGTCGAGGCACATATTAAAGTGATTCGGCCCTTATGTAGTCTCACAGGAGGAGCCCAAGTCAACCGCTTGAACCAAGGCTCGGGACACCACGGCCTTTCAGGCCTTTTTGATAAACTGAGCAGACCGTTTCTCGCCCTAGCTTCACCCCATAATTTGGGTATTAACATGGGGCCTTTTAATCCTTACCCCGTCGCGAAGGCCAAGGAGCTGCTCCAGCAGACCATCGCCGAGTGCGGCCAGGCCTACGGAAATGAGTGCATACCATGAGTACATGCCAAGCTTCAAGACAATAAGAAGGAACGACACTGAATAAGTGAATGAATGAGTCACTGAGCAAAGGTATGTGTTGCTCACAGTTTCGACGCAGGATGCTTGGTGTAGGCACCGGGAAATGATGGAGAGCACCGCAGGTCTGTGTTCGGCTGTGGAGTCTTTGGATAAGAATCTTGAAAAACGGCAGAAGCGCATGACGAGAGCGCCCTGTGCTTGTGTGCCTGCCAGGGCCGGAGATCCAAAGGGGGCGCAGGTCTCAGTTGCATGAAAGAGATTTTTAATTAGCCTGTGAGGTTTGGAATTGATAGGGTTTCTGATAGTCGCTGGGGTTTTGGCTTCAGGAAAAGCCATGTACACGAAGGCCATAATGCAGGAACCTGATTCAGAAACCCCAGGTTCTCCAGATGGATCGCAGACTTTTTCGGTCTTATAGAACCAGCCAGGTTTCACCTTGACGATAGAAAAGGTGGACGTTCCGTGATTTTGCTGAAAAGTACATCCTGTGGACTCTGGCAGCCAGGCATCAACCTCGGCACCAGCATCTGACTTCAGACTGATTTCATTAAAGGCTCATCTGGATAGCTTGGCTTCCAGTGCATAGGTTTGAAGCTCCTGGCCGTGAACCAAAATTCTCAAGCCCCAAGCCTCACAAATAAGTTACCCACCTTGCCTCGCACTCCACAACAAAACCAAAGCCTAAACCCTAAAGCCCAACAGCCCCAATCCCACAACCCTCACACCCAATAGCCTAAGGCCTTACTCCCAAAACTACAAAGCCAAAGGCCGCGCACGAACTGCCCCCGGTCCTGGCTACTCGGCAGAGTCGAAGAGCACAGGGTTTAGCATTTCAGTGTTCAGAGTTTTGGGGTTTTGGGCTTTACGACCGGTATCTCGTCCGAAATCGTATAGCACCCCGTATCTCGACCTTGTTTGCGTGTATCTCGACCGTAGTGCCCCACAAAAAACAGTGCTTTGACTAGCCGCTTTCAGGGGCTTGAGAAGGCAATTAATTCCGCAGCTCCCAGATCCCCCTTGGTTTCTATGCCACAATGGCAGACAGCAAGAAGTACAGCAAGACATGCGGTGAGCACACCCCGATTAGTTTCTGATTCAAGCGATCCTGCTCAGCTACAGGACATGCAAGTTCAGCTGGCCGACGTGGCACGGCTCGCCACCCTCGGTGATCGCAAGTGCTGGACAGACTTGCGCGCAAGAGGCCTCCCTTTGGCTGAAGGCAGCCAGTCTCTGGCACTCTCTGGTCGGAGACTTTCCTCTCTTGCAAGGAATTCACATAGAACTCCCATCCGCCAATGAGGCAGCACGAACTTCGTACAAACATCGGAATATTAGCATATCTCACAGCGTAGGCATCATGGACTCCGTAATCGAAACAGTTTCGTTTCTCTTTGCGCCTGTTTTGACTGGTGCGACTGGGAGTGTTAGCAGTTAGCAGTCGTGCGAAGAATCGCTCGCCATGCAACCAAATTTGCGGGGGAGACATCCGTTTTGCTGAGCACGATCTGTGGCTTATTGAGTTATTCGCACGGTCAGCGTTGCCCCATAATTTACTCAGAATGATGGCTGATTACACTGTGCTTCAGCCGTTGCGGTGTCCTCCCAGATCACGGCGGCAGCCTCTTTCGGCTGTACAAAGCTTGAAAGAGGCGTGTGAAGTAGGGTTGGCGATGCACTGCCGATTCGTGTCAGATTGAATGACCTGCATAGTGACATGGAGCGTATCTGCAGATGAGCACCAAGTTAAGCCTGGCACGAGTTCTTGGCCTCACTCGGAGGGTTCATCGTGTCACATGAGGCATCATGGACTCCATGAGCCAGTTTCGTTTCTCTTTGCTCCTGTTTTGACTGGTGCGACTGGGAGTGTTAGCAGTTAGCAGTCGCGCGAAGAATCGCTCGCCATGCAACCAAATTTGCGGGGGAGACATCCGTTTTGCTGAGCACGATCTGTGGCTTATTGAGTTATTCGCACGGTCAGCGTTGCCCCATAATTTACTCAGAATGATGGCTGATTACACTGTGCTTCAGCCGTTGCAGTGTCCTCCCAGATCACGGCAGGGCAGCCTCTTTCGGCTGTACAAAGCTTGAAAGAGGCGTGTGAAGTAGGGTTGGCGATGCCCTGCCGATTCGTGTCAGATTGAATGACCTGCATAGTGACATGGAGTGTATCTGCAGATGAGCACCAAGTTAAGCCTGGCACGAGTTCTTGGCCTCAGGAGGGGTTCATCGTGTCACATGAGGCATCATGGACTCCATGAGCCAGTTTCGTTTCTCTCTGCTCCTGTTTTGACTGGTGCGACTGACTGGGAGTGTTAGCAGTTAGCAGTCGCGCGAAGAATCGCTCGCCATGCAACCAAATTTGCGGGGGAGACATCCGTTTTGCTGAGCACGATCTGTGGCTGATTAAGTTATTCGCACGGTCAGCGTTGCCCCATAATTTACTCAGAATGATGGCTGATTACACTGTGCTTCAGCCGTTGCGGTGTCGTCCCAGATCACGGCAGGGCAGCCTCTTTCAGCTGTACAAAGCTTGAAAGAGGCGTGTGAAGTAGGGTTGGCGACGCACTGCCGATTCGTGTCAGATTGAATGACCACGTATCGGAGATGAGCACCAAATCAGCATGAACCTTCCGTTCTGAAGCACCGTAGCTCATACAATACAAGTCCTGTTACTTCTTGCATGAACTCTGAATGCCGCTCGTATCGGTTTTGCAGTTGCATGTATCTGCAGGAAGGTATGTCCCGGACCACTGTCAGCCAAATATGTCCTTGAGATGCACGAGTATCTTTAGTTCTGTTTGCAACTGAATTCGGTCAGCAGACACCCTAGAAGGCCGCTCTAGCTTGGCCCTACAGCCATCGGGATTTCCAGAGGAAGGTTCCGTAGGAAGGTTCTTGCCAAAGTCCTACTTCTGCTGCACCCATCCAGCATCGTGCACAGGACTGAGCCCTACAAAATCTTCATGGCCTAAGACACCTGCAGCCTTAAAGCCCTAAGCCACAAAGCTCTGAAGCCTGAGGTCCTTAACCCTTGGAGTCATGAAGCCCCAAGTTTCCTTAAACACTATAAATCCCAGACCCTGGACCCGAAGACTTGGCAGATCAGCTAGGTCGTGAATCCCATCTGCGGGACATGTTGGTGCTTTGCCCTCGGCACTGACTCGCAGGTGTTTCAGGTTGATATTCTTCACGGATTCCAGATTGAAATTTCGGATTCCAGGTTCAAGGATGTCGTAGGTGTTGCATCCCCCTTCAACGGGAAAAGAACAGCTTGTGTAAGGATTCGATAAGTGTCAGGAATATCGGAATATCCCAAAGACTTCTTCGGGCAGAAGCGGTGAACGGTCCTTCTTCGTGGTCGAAGGTGGGGTTTCGACTTCTGGTTCACACAGATGAAGCTCACAAGCATGCAGCATCCTGCATCATCGCCTTTCTTCATGATTAGGCTACGGCACGCGTCAATAGCAGCCTGGAGTAGATTAGCATTGCAGGAGGCTCTGCATGTTGTTCACTCTGAGAAATGCTGCGCTCCAGGCATGCAGAGTGGTCTATCAGGGACCTTGCATTTGTCATAATTACTGTGAAAGCTTGAAGGGTCCTTTGCTACTAGCGTGAACATGGCAAGAGCGCCTTCAAACTCAGTTTTTGTGAACTTCCCGTCTTTCCTCCAGAATCTGACCCATGCGAGCTGCAGCCCGAAGTTTCGGTGGCCGAGGCAGTGGCAGGCAGTCGTGAAGAACATGCGCAGCCATCGGAACTACCACGGGGAGATGGATCAAATTCGGCAAGAGGCCCTTCGTAGAAATGTGCTTGCCGCCACCTGAAAACCTGATGTAAGCGCCTGAGAAGCGGGGTGCTCTCCTGATCCCCGATACAAGTATTCTGACAAGAACCCGAATGTCTTAGTCAGGTTCTTACATTAAGTACATGAGGTCTCAGCAGCAGGATGTTCCGACGATAGCTCATTGGCTGTGTGTGTTTGTCTTCATTGAGGTGCGGGCAACCCTTCCTCCTCCAAGCTCAACCCTCCACCCACTTAATCTACAGAAGGTGTTTGGGGTTTGGCTATTGTGATCGATTTAGGGATCCAGAAGTTTCGAGTTCAGGGGTTTAAGGGACAAGGATTGAGGTGTCCAAAAGAAGGGTGTTGAGCCTTTGTGCACCCGAATGCAAGCATGGTTCTGATAGCTTTTTCGATCGCCAGGCCGCTCAGGAAGTGAAGCAAAAGGAGAAGAAAACGGTGCTGGGACCCCAGGGGTTTAGGGTTCAAGTTTTCGCCTTTTTGTTTGGCTCCCTGCTTGCGTGCGCTGGGCTTGCTGCATGAACTGCTGAAGGCTTGCGGGTACAGGTAAGGGGGGTCTCCTATAGAGTTCAGCAGAGGTCTGGTGGGGATTTGAGGTCTATCTCAGCTCCCCACGCAGCGCTGGGCTCCTGTTGAGGAATGTAAGATAAGTTCAGAGTATCTTCAAGCTTATGGTTCCGTAACAAAGAATTCAAAGAGAACTCAATTATCGGTGCTTCGATCCACCTCCTGAGGAGACTGGGGGCAATCGGTCAGGTGCTTCACTCGCGCATACTCTCATACCAGAAACCAGAGATCTCAAGCCCGAAACCGCAGACAATATGGGTCTACACCGTGAACATGAGCGCACTCGCGGAAGCCTGCTCGTCGAATCTTTATGCTGTGGAATGATGAACATTCATGGTAGATGCTCGCGCATATTTCGGTGTTAATTGCGCTCGTTCGGCAAGTTCTGTGTTAGGATCTGATTTTGCATTGAGGGTCTAGGGCTCCGGTCAAGCATCCGGACTCTATTCGCAGCCGTCGGGATGTTCCTATGCCTGAATCAGGGAGCAGCTCTCAAGCTTTGCCATCCACTCTGCGGAGCTGCTCATCCGGCGGCGCATGAAGGACATCAATTGGGTGCGCCATAGCTGTATAGTATACATACGAGTTTACATACGGCAGACAATGTTGGCACTGGGACTCCACTTCGAGGTCAAGACACCGGCAACAAATCGTACATCTTTGCACTGGCTTAGCACTAGGACTCCACTTCGAGGCCAAGACACCGGCAACAAATCGTACATCTTAGCACTGGGACCCCACTTCGAGGCCAAGACACCGGCAACAAATCGTACATGATCGCACTGGGACTCCACCTCGAGGCTAAGACACCGGCAAAAAAGTCGTACACTTTAGCACTGGAACTCCACTTCGAGGCCAAGACACCGGCAACAAATCGTACCGGCTTAGCACTGGGACCTCACTTCGAGGCCAAGACACTGGCAACACATCGTACATCTTAGCACTGGCTTAGCACTTGGACTCCTCTTCGAGGCTAAAACACAAGCAACAAATTGTACATCTTAGCACTGGGACCACGCTTCGAGGCCAAGACACCGGCAACAAATCGCACATAGTAGCACTGGGACTCCACTTCGAGGCCAAGACAAGACACCGGCAGCAAATCGGACATCTTAGCACTGGGACTCCACTTCGAGGCCAAGACACCGGCAACAAATCGTACATCTTAGCGCTGCCTTAGCACTGGGACTCCACTTCGAGGCCAAGACACCGGCAACATATCGTATTTCAGCATCGGGACCACGCTTCGAGGCCAAAACAGCGGCAAGAAATCGTACATTTTAGCACTGGAGCTCCGCTTCGAGGCCAAGACACCGGCAACAAATCGTACATCTTAGCATTGGGACTCCACTTCGAGGCCAAGACACCGGCAACAAATCGTACATCTTTGCACTGGCTTAGCACTAGGACTCCACTTCCAGGCCAAGACACTGGCAACAAATCGTACATCTTAGCACTGGGACCCCACTTCGAGGCCAAGACACCGGCAACAAATCGTACATCTTTGCACTGGGACTCCACTTCGAGGCCAAGACATTGGCAACACATCGTACATCTTAACACTGGAACTCCACTTCGAGGTCAAGACACCGGCAACAAGTCGTACATCTTAGCACTGGGACTCCACTTCGATGCCAAGACACCGGCAACAAATCGTACATCCTACTGGCTTAGCAATGGGACTCTTCTTCGAGCCCAAGACACCGGCAACAAATCGTACATCTCAGCACCGGGACTCCACTTCGAGGCAAAGACACTGGCAAAAAAGCGTACATCTTAGCACTGGGAATCCACTTCGAGGCCAAGACACCGGCAACAAATCGTACATCTTAGCACTGGGACTCCACTTCGAGGCCAAGACACCGGCAACAAATCGTACATCGTAGCACTTGGACTCCACTTCGAGGTCAAGACACCGGCAACACGTCGTACATCTTAGCACTGGGACTCCACTTCGAGGCCAAGACACCGGCAACAAATCGTACATCTTAGCACGCGGACCCCACTTCACCGGCAACAAATCGTACATCTTAGCACTGGCCTAGCACTTGGACTCCACTTCGAGGCCAAGACGCCGGAAACAAATCGTACATCTTCGCACTGGGACTCCACTCCGAGGTCAGTACACCGGCAACAAATCGTACATCTTAGCACTGGGACTCCACTTCGAGGCCAAGACACAGGCAACAAATCGTACATCTTAGCACTGGGACTCCACTTCGAGGCCAAGACACCGGCAACAAATCGTACATCTTAGCACTGGCTTAGCACTGGGACTCCACGTCGAGGCCAAGACACCGGCAACAAATCGTACATCTTAGCACGGTGACTCCACTTCGAGGCCAAGACACCGGCAACAAATCGTGCATCTTAGCACTGGGACTCCACTTCGAGGCCAAGACACTGGCAACAAATCGTACGTCTTAGCACTGGGACTCCACTTCGAGGCCAAGACACCGGCAACAAATCGTACATCTTAGCACTCGGACTCCACTTCGAGGCCAAGACACCGGCAACAAATCGTACCTCTTAGTGCTGGGACTCCACTTCGAGGCCAAGACACCGGCAACAAATCGTACATCTTAGCACTGGGACTCCACTTCGAGGGCAGGACACCGGCAACAAATCGTACATCTTAGCACTGGCTTAGCACTGGGACTCCACTTCGAGGCCAAGACACCGGCAACCAATCGTACATCTTAGCATTGGGACTCCACTTCGAGGCCAAGACAACGGCAACAAATCGTACATCTTAGCACTGGGACCTCACTTCCAGGCCAAGACACCGGCAAAAAGCGTACATCTTAGCACTGGGACTCCACTTCGAGGCCAAGACACCGGCAACAAATCGTACATCTTAGCACTGGCTTAGCACTTGGCTCCTCTTCGAGGCCAAGACACCGGCAACAAATCGTACATCTCAGCACTGGGACTCCACTTCGACGCCAAGACATTGGCAACACATCGTACATCTTAGCACTGGGACCCGACTTCGAGGCCAAGACACCGGCAACAAATCGTGCATCTTAGCACTGGGACTCGACTTCGAGCACTGGGACTCCACTTCGAGCCCAAGTCACCGGCAACACATCGTGCATCTTAGCACTGGCTTAGCACTGGGACTCCACTTCGAGGCCGAAACACCGGCAGCAAATCGTACATCTTAGCACTGGGACTCCGCTTCGAGGCCAAGACACCGGCAACAAATCGTGCACGTACATCTGAGCACTGGCTCAGCACTGGGACTCCACTTCGAGGTCAAGAAACTGGCAACAAATCATACATTTTAGCGCTGGGACTCCGCTTCGAGGCCAAGACACCGGCAACAAATCGTACATCTTAGCACTGGGGCCCCACTTCGAGGTCAAGACACCGGCAACAAACCGTACATCTTAGCACTGGGACTCCACTTCGAGCCCAAGACACCGGGAACAAATCGTACATCTTAGCATTGGGACTCCACTTCGAGGCCACGCCATTGCCAGCACATCGTACATCTTAGCACTGGAACTCCACTTCGAGGGCAAGACACCGGCAACAAATCGTACATCTTAGCACTGAGACTCCACTTCGAGGCCAAGCCACCGGCAACAAATTGCACATCTTAGCACTGGGACTCCACTTCGAGGCCAAGACACCGGCAACAAATCGTACATCTTTGCACTGGCTTAGCACTAGGACTCCACTTCCAGGCCAAGACACTGGCAACAAACCGTACATCTTAGCACTGGCTTAGCATCGGGACTCCACGTCGAGGCCAAGACACCGGCAACAAATCGTACATCTTAGCACTGGCTTAGCACTTGGACTCCACTTCGAGGCCAAGACGCCGGCAACAAATCGTACATCTTAGCACTGGGACTCCACTCCGAGGCCAAGACAATGGCAACACATTAGCACTGGAACTCCACTTCGAGGCCAAGATACCGGCAACAAATCGTACATCTTAGCACCGGGACTCCACTTCGAGGCCAAGACACCGGCAACAAATCGTACATCTTAGCACTGGCTTAGCACTTGGCTCCTCTTCGAGGCCAAGACACCGGCAACAAATCGTACATCTTGGCACTGGGACTCCACTTCGAGTTCAAGACACCGGCAACAAATCGTACATCTTAGCCACACTGGGACTCCACTTCGAGGCCAAGACACAGGCAACAAATCGTGCATCTTAGCAGTGGCTTAGCACTGGGACTCCACTTCGAGGCCAAGACACAGGCAAAAAAATGTACATCTTAGCACTGGGACTCCACTTCGAGGCCAAGACATCGGCAACAAATCGTACATCTTAGCACTGGGACTCCACTTCGAGGCCAAGACACCGGCAACAAATCGTACATCTTAGCACTGGCTTAGCACTTGGACTCCACTTCGAGGCCAAGACGCCGGCAACAAATCGTACATCCTAGCACTGGCTTAGCACTTGGACTCCTCTTCGAGGCCAAGACAGCGGCAGCAAATCGTACATCTTAGCACCGGACTTCGCTTCGAGGCAAAGACATTGGCAACACATCGTACATCTTAGCACTGGAACTCCACTTCGAGGCCAAGACACCGGCAACAAATCGTACATTGTAGCAGACACCGGCAACATATCGTACATCGTAGAACTGGGACTCCACTTCGAGGTTAAGACACCGGCAACACATCGTACATCTTAGCACTGGCTTAGCACTGGGACTCCACTTCGAGGCCAAGACACCGGCAGCAACTCGCACATCTTAGCACTGGGACTCCACTTCGAGGCTAAGTAAGACACAAGCAACAAATCGTACATCTTAGCACTGGGATTCCACTTCGAGGACAAGACACCGGCAACAAATCGTACATCTTAGCACCGGGACCCCACTTCGAGGCCAAGACACCGGCAACAAATCGTACATCTTAGCACTGGCTTAGCACTTGGCTCCTCTTCGAGGCCAAGACACCGGCATCAAATCATACATCTCAGCACTGGGACTCCACTTCGAGGCCAAGACACCGGCAGCAAATCGTCCATCTTAGCACCGGGACTCCACTTCGAGGCCAAGACACCGGCAACAAATCGTACATCTTAGCGCTGGGACTCCACTTCGAGGTCAAGACACCGGCAACAAATCGTACATCTTAGCACTGGGACTCCATTTCGAGGCTACAGACATTGGCAAAAAATCGTACATCTTAGCACTGGCTTAGCACTGGAACTCCACTTCGAGGCCAAGACACCGGCAACACATCGTACATCTTAGCACTGGGACTCCGCTTCGAGGCAAAGACACCGGCAACAAATCGTACATCTTGGCAGGGGAACTCCACTTCGAGGCCAAGACACCGGCAACAAATCGTAAATCTTAGCACTGGGACTCTACTTCGAGGCCAAGACACCGGCAACACATCGTTCATCTTAGCACCGGGACTCCACTTCGAGGCCAAGACACCGGCAACAAATCGTACATCTTAGCGCTGCCTTAGCACTGGGACTCCACTTCGAGGTCAAGACACCGGCAACAAATCGTACATCTTAGCACTGGAACTCCACATCGAGGCCAAGACACCGGCAACTAATGGTACATCTTAGCACTGGGACTCCAGTTCGAGGCCAAGACACCGGCAACAAATCGTACATCTGAGCACTGGGACTCCACTTCGAGGCCAAGACACCGGCAACAATTCGTACATCTTAGCACTGGCTTAGCACTGGGACTCCACTTCGAGGCCACGACACCGGCAACAAATCGTACATCTCAGGACTGGCTTAGCACTGGGACTCCACTTCGAGGCCAAGACACCGGCAGCGAATCGTACGTTTTAGCACTGGGACTCCACTTCGAGCCAAGACACTGGCAACAAATCGTACATCTTAGCACTGGGACTCCACTGCGAGGCCAAGACACCGGCAACGCATCGTACATGTTCGCACCGGGACTCCACTTCGAGGCCAAGACACCGGCAACAAATCGTACATCTTCGCACTGGGACTCCACTTCGAGGCTAAGACACCGGCAACAAATCGTACGTTTGAGCACTGGGACTCCACTTCGAGGCCAAGACACCGGCAACAAATCGTACATCTTAGCACTGGGACTCCACTTCGAAGCCAAGACACCGGCGACAAATCGCACATAGTAGCACTGGGACTCCACTTCGAGGCCAAGACAAGACACCGGCAGCAAATCGGACATCTTAGCACTGGGACTCCACTTCGAGGCCAAGACACCGGCAACAAATCGTACATCTTAGCGCTGCCTTAGCACTGGGACTCCACTTCGAGGCCAAGACACCACCAACAAATCGTACATCTTAGCACTGGGACTCCACTTCGAGGCCAAGACACTGGCAACAAATCGTACATCTTAGCACTGGGACTCCACTTCGAGGCCAAGACACCACCAACAAATCGTACATCTTAGCACTGGGACTCCACTTCGAGGCCAAGACACCGGCAACGAATCGTACATTTGAGCACTGGGAGCCCACTTCGAGGCCAAGACACCGGCAACAAATCGTACATCTTAGCACTGGGACTCCACTTCGAAGCCAAGACACTGGCAACAAATCGTACATCTTAGCACTGGGACTCCACTTCGAGGCCAAGACACCACCAACAAATCGTACATCTTAGCATTGGGACTCCACTTCGAGGCCAAGACACCGGCAACGAATCGTACATCTGAGCACTGGAAGTCCACTTCGAGGCCAAGACACTGGCAACAAATCGTACATCTTAGCACTGGGACTCCACTTCGAGGCCAAGACACTTCCAACAGCCTTTGAACTCAGCATTAGGACCTCACTTGCAGCCCAAGACACCGACTGCCCAAAAGCACCGAGCATGTAGATCTGCAGCGTAGATTAGCTAAGATGCAGAATATGTGGATTTACAGCGCGAAATGCACCAGCCGGCACAACAGCCTGGATTAGCTTGGATTTGCTGTGTAGCACCTAAAACTTACCACAAAGTGAATTGCAGCGTAGACTGCACCAAAGTTGCTCCGAAAGTACAAAATTTTGGATTTGCAATGTCAAATGCACCAAAGTTGCACACAAAAGCAGATTTGCAGTGTAAAGCGCACCTGAACTGCACCACAAGAAAAGAGGCCCGGTGAAAATCCAGCGAAAACCCAGGTCCCGAACACCCCTAAGCCCTAAACATTGGCCATAAACACGAGCAGGAGCCTTTGGTGATGGTCTTTGTGAACTGGAGGATGGTGCAGGACCAATTTTCGCTTCCCAGAAGCAGTCTCCGATGATATTTGTTCTTCAATCTTTGGGCCTTCTATTTTGGGTTTTACAGGCTTTGCCGGGTTTGGGGTTTTAAGTGGGTCAATAAATTCCGTGTTTAGGTCTTCAGGATGAATGGGGTGAGAAGAGCTGAATTTCGGGTTGTAATTGTGTTTTACGGTCTCAGACGGTTAGAGGGTTCAGGGGTTTCGTGGCCTCAGGGCGCACTATTTAAAGGGGCATCCGGTTAAGAGTTTCGGGTTGTCGGAATAGGCTTTTCAGGATTTGAAGGTTTTCGGGTCAAGGGTGGTGGGCGCTTAAAGGGTGTCATGTTTGTGTGTTTGGTTTAGGGTTTTAGGGTATCGTCTTTGTCATGATTGAGGGCTGTGTTTTTGGAGTAACCGGGTAGGCTGTGGCCTCAGGATGCTTCCGTTGGGCCCCGAAATCCGTGATTCCCTGGGGCCCCAAAATCAGAATTCCAATCCCCCTAACCGCCTAACCCGTCAATCCTCCAGAGATCAACTTGGAGACTCCAATAATCCCTTGGTTAACGGTCTCTTGTTGCGAAAACATGGCTTAGGGAATTTGCTTGGAACCGACCACTCGATCATTGCAAGCTCCTGGTGCCCATCGGGACGTGCAAGGATTCTTGTTACTTCTAGTTGAGATGAACCCCTAAACTGAACTCTTTGGCCTACGTCACAACACCCTAAAGACATCTTCGGCCAGAGACCAGTGCCTAGCCCAAGTCCGACAGACATCTTGTTGAAGAGCCGCAACTTGTCACACCGTTAAATAAATCCGAACGCCTCTTCGAAAAGAGCCGTAAATGATTGAATGACTCATCAACTGTGTGCAAGCCATGACTCTGACCGTTATGGCATTGCAAAACACGTCCGCAGTGTTTACCGGTGGGCGATGATCTTGTGCGGGATTCTGTTGAAAACCACGATCAAGCTGCGGTCCTGTAAGAGTTGCACGACTTGCTTGTCCAAGTTCTGCACAGGGTTACCGGGTGTTCTCCTCCCTCGAAAGTCCTGCCTCTGCGTTTTTGCTTGTGGCCAAAGGTACACCATGTGGGTGGTTGTCAAAATTAGAGTCCCTTTGTGGGTACCCTAAATAATAGGTGCCGTATTATATTTGGGACCCAAAAAGGGACCCTAATTTTGACAACCACCCATGTGTCATTTTGGTACACGTGTGACCCTTCATCCTGAAAGTTGCAGCTTTGAAGGTGGAGTTGTCTGCATTAGTGGGTCGGGCCAAATCTGCAATGTCAAAGGACGTCTCGAGCGGGCGACTTTGCTTTCACAATTCTAAGGTAGCAGGCAGAGAAGTATAGCAAGGGTTAGTCCGAGGAATGATTCACAGTGATCATTAGTAGGGGGCTACGGGTTCAATTCAGCTGTTGTAGGGGCGCAGGGAGTATCGTGTAGGGTTCACGAGATAAAAAGAAGAGGCCCCAAGGTTTGTACGGTACGGGTTAGGGTTTGGGAGTTCAGAGTTTATTTGGCAGTTCGGGGGCTGCTTGCACTGCGTGCGTATGCAGCAGTAGAAGCAGTTGTTTCTCATGCATAGCAAAAAATGCACTTACCACATGTCGCATACTTTCGACACTGCAGACAGACGCCATGCCATATCAACGATGGGGTTGCCTCCCGCAGTTGTTGTATCAGCACAGTTGGCGCAAGCACGCGGCAAAGCCAGAGAAGTAGGTCTAGTAGTAATAGTGGCAGCAACAGCATTTGTAGCAGTAGCAGTAGCAGTAGCAGCAGCAGTCGCAGTAGCAGTAGCAGTAGCAGTAGCAGCAGCAGCAGCAGCAGCAGTGGCGGATGTAGATGCAAAACTAGTGGCTTAGTAGATGTCGCGGATGTAGATGCGTAGTAGTACTAGTAGCGTTAGCAGTAGTAGTAGTAGTAGTAGTAGCAGCAGCAGTAGCCTGAGCAGTAATAGTATTTTTGCATTTACCCTCGCTGCTCCAGTCTGGTCGAAGCCGTGTGAACGTGACAGGACTCAGTCCCGGCGTTTCCGAATGGTCGCAGTGCGTTGCACTTCACATCTTCACAACTACATCAGAAACCTCGTGATCCTTCCCTCCACAAGTTCAGTGAAGATAATGGAAGCAGACGAAGACAGCAATAGCCAGCAGGCAGCGAATCCATTGAGAACAAATCCACATTACCGTGACCGGCGCTCATGGCTTGATCAACATGTGACAAAGTATCAGGCATGAGCATTCCTCTGCAGCGGCTGAAATGTCGACGCCTGCGTGCCCCTTTGCATCTTCCGACCACACTTCTGTAGTTTGGGGTAAAGTATTATTTGCATCTTGCAGTCACTCTCATTCTGCGCAGTCCTTCGCCTTAGCTTCTGAGACTAGCAGTAGTTATTATTATCGGTAGGTATAATAAGTAGTAGTAGCAGCAGCAGCAGTAGAAGTCGAAGCCGAAGTAGAAGTAGAATGTAGAAGTAGAAAGTAGCAAGTAGAAAGCAGCAAGTAGAAGTAGAAGTCCATCTCCAAGCTGGGATATGAGCCGAACCACAATCCCAAGTTGGGCAGCACTGAAACGAAGCATTCACTTCCGATGAGATGTTGAACATGTGACTCGAGCAGGAGAGAGAAAAGTATCAGCAACACGCCGCAAGAATGCAGCAGGAGGCAGGAAGATGTAGACCAACTTTCCATTACTATTTCGACACAAGGCTCAAGGGTTGCTTTTTTTGGTGGTTCGTTGTTGGATAACCTCTGGCCGGGTACCCATCACTTTCTGACAACCCCCCGCAGAACTGCCAGGCAAACCAAAGTCTTCTGCGACCCCAAGCTAGTTACAGCTAGTTCGAGCGTCATGTAAGGCTTCAGACAACTTTAAATTCTGAATCCTGGGTAACTGCAAAGACTCCTTGCAGCACGACCCTTGCGCAAATATTTCCAGAACTATCCAAGTCACGAAAGATTTCCAAGACTCGATGCCCTAAACTGGCACAGCTTGAAACCTTACGCCCTAAACTCGACCTTCCGCAGTGGAGGACCTTCAAAGCCGCACTAAACAACAAAGAGAGAAGCCCGGGAAACTTTGGAGTTATGGGGCGTCGGGCTTGGCGGGTTCAGGAATTGGGGTTTCGGGATTTCGGGTTGGGACCCTTGGCCCTTTTTACGCAGTCTTCAGCATCCCGACCCTACACCGCAACGCTAAGCCTTCAACACTGAAAACAGCTCGTGGTTCGCTCCCTTTCAGCAGAAGCGTCGAAGTTCAAGGACCTCAAGCCCACATGGGAGTTTCCGATCAAGGGACTTTCTTCTGGCGTCTTCATAGTCACAGCTCCGTCGCCCAGCTCCTAAAATTCTTGCAACCTGCTGTGTCACAAACCCGTACACTCGAAAACCGTAGCTCACGAACACCACAGGCCACACTTCTTGTAAACCCCTATACCCCGAAAACACCGGGCGCCTAAACCCTGAACCCTAAACCACAAAACCCTAGACCCCTAAACCCAAAACACTAGACCCCTAAACCCAAAACCCTAAACCCCTAAACCCTAAACCTTAAACCCACTTAGGAAGAGCCTCTCCTTGCTGTTCTGGGAGGCCCAAGACCAGCGAGATCACCACCAGAACGTGCTGCAAAGCAAGGAGACGAAAAAGGAGGTGGCGGACGGAAGGGCCTTTTAAGACGTATATGATTATGTGGTTTGGGGTTTACGGGAGTTCCGTTCTGGATTCTACAAGGTTCAGGGTTTAGGATTACCAGAGATATCTTTGGGGGGTTGGGGTATTGCATGGGCTGTTAGGGTTCCGATGCGATACTATAGCCCCTTGCATAGACCAAGTAGCTGAATCTTACAAGTCTTACACACAATACCTGGATAAGCACTAAACCCCAATCCCTTAACCCTTGACCTCTAGAGCCTGAACCTCAACCCGTGTTTTCAAGCACCAGTCCTGAAGTCAAAAAGAGCCCCTTCAAGTTAAACCTGAGCGATTTCCCTGATGCAACCACCTCCCCCAAGCACCCCGCAGCTCCGAGTGCCCTGCGGGCCCCCACAGCGCTTGCTGGAGCTCCTGGCTGTTGGAGTTTAGGGCTCGGGGGCTCGAGGGCGTGGGTTTGGGTGTTTTCGGATTGGGGCTGCAAGTGGGTCCAGGCGGGCTGTTATAGCCCACAGCTGCAGGACTTCTAGAAGTTCTAATTATCAGGACCCTTTGTTCATGGCACCTTTAATGAAGACCTTGTGATGAATCAGTATCCCTTTGTAGTGCCTTTATAGAGAATCCCTCGAAGGGGCTGCTACATGAAGCTCCTACCCTGCAGCGTCTCGGGCGCCTTGCTGCAAGGTGGCCTGCTGGCAGCTGGCGACGTTTTCTTACTTGGCCGATCCCCGAGAGCAGGGAGCAGGGAGTGCACCAGAAACGCGGGTCCAAGGTTCGTGTTGAGGGTTGGAGGGCGGCAGAGGGGTTGAGGTCTTTAGGGGCTGGGGCTGAGGGGTTCCAGGATGGGGGTTTGGAGGTTTCGGTTGCGAGGTTTAGGGTTTTGGGGCGGGGGGCCTAGGGGTGATTCATGGAGTTGTGGGTTGGGATTGTATACAACTTCTTTTGGGGCCCGTATCCAAGAATAACGTTTCCAATTCAACCCAAAACGCGTTAATCCCAACCCGAAAACCCTGTACCATATGATGCGGCTTTGCAGATGTCTTGGCAGCCTCTTCAGAGGTCTTTTGCTGATTCTGGCCAGAGGCGATATAGGTCTAGGAATAGATGCCAAGCTTCGCCCAAAAGGTTTGCTGAGCACAGATGATACATGCCAAGTCTGAGACCTTGATGTGTCTTGAGAGCCAACGCATGCTAAACTTGGAGTCCAGATTTGGGCCACAGGTTTGTTGAGATGCAAATCATGCTAAAGTTGACACCCAGACTCGGGCCAAGGATTTGTTGAGAGCCAAATCATGTTGGACTTGTACCCCGGGTTGGGGCCAAAGGTTTGTTGATATCCAAATCATGCGAAACTTGATCCCCAGATTCGGGCCAAACTTTTGCTTAGAGTTTAGATGCAAACCATGCTAAACTTGGCACCCAGGTTCGGGTCCAAAGATTTGTTGAGATCCGCACACGTCAAACTTGAAGTCCAGACTTAGGCTCGCCTCCCACTTGCCACCTCCTGCTGTCGCACCTGGTTTGTCTCGTGCTTGCGTTGATGCACACCTCCGCTCACAATCGTGGTTTACCTCCCAGCTCCCACCTCCCAGCCACCTCCCACCTCCCACCTCCCACCTCCCACCACCTCTCCCACCTCCACCTCCCATCCCACCTCACCTCCCACCTCCCACCTTCTCCCTCCCACCTCCCACCCACCCACCTCCCACCTTCCACCCACCTCCTGTCCCACCTTCCAGCCACCAATCTTGGTGGGTGGTCGCTTCAACCGTCCAGCGCCACCCTTTCCTAGGCCTGCTGCCTGCAGCCACACCCTCCCAACCACCACTCTCCTCCAGCCACCAATTCTCGGTGGGTCTGTCTTGGGTTTCTTGCAGGTGGGAGGTGGGGCTGGTGGCTGCGTACAGTGGCGGGGTGGCTAGAGGGTAGGGAGCTCCTACCGCGGTGGAGATTGGTGGCCTGTAAAACGAGCTCGAACAAAACCTCAAACTCCTAAACCTCGAAACCCTGAACCTGTAAGGCTTGGGGTTGGAGTAGGTGGGGTGTGTGGGAGTGAGGTGAGATGGGAGAGGTGGGAAGGGGGAGGTGGAGTTTTGCAGCGCAGGAGGTGGGAGGTTGGGTTGGGTGGGAGGAGGATAGGGTTTCGGTGCGGTCTGGTGCGGTTCCAAATGCTTCGGTTCGGTTCGATACGGGAGCGGGCGGTTCGATACGATACTTGATGAGAGTATTGTTGAACCGGCTCTCAACTTGAAACCCAGGTTCGGGCCAAAGGTTTCTTGAAAATCAAGTCGTGCTCCGCTTGAGACCCAGATTCAGGCCAACAGCTTCCCGATTAGACTCGGGCCAAAGGTTTGTTGCACGATTACAATCATGCGAAACGTAACACCCTGATTCAGGCCGAATGTTTGTTGAGATCCAGATCATGCTAAACCTGAACTGAAATTTGAGACCCAGATTTGGACCAAAAGTTTGTTGAGAGCCAAATCATGCTAAACTGAAAAGCCAGAAACGAGCCCGAGGTTTGTTGAGATTCAAGCGAAGTTAAATTTGAAACCCAGATTCGGGCCAAGGGTTTGTGGAGAGGCAAACCATGCTAAACTCGAATCCCAGACTCGCGCCAAAAGTTTGTTGAGAGCCAAAACATGCTAAACTTGAAACCCAGATTCGGGCCAAAGGTTTGTCGAGAGCCAAAATCATGCTAATTTGAAGCACCGGTGTTGGCAAAAGGCCTTTTTGAAAGCCAAATCATGCTGACCTTGGAAACCCAGATTCGGGCCAAAGGTTTGTTGAGATCCACATCATGTCATACTTGAAGCCCAGATTTGGACCAAAGGTGTGTTGAAGGCACCCAGATTCTGGCCAAGGTTTCTTAAGAGCCAAGGCGCGCTAAACTTGAAACCCACATTCGGGCCGAAAGTTTGTTGAGATCCGAACCGTGCTAAACTTAAAACCCAGATTCTGGAAAAACTTTGTCGCAGGCCACCCCATGATAAACTTGAAACTCAGATTCGGGCCAAAGGTTTCTTGAGATACAACACAAGTCAGTGTAATGTGCAAATCCTGAAACTCAGATTCTGGCCAAAGGCTTGTTCAAGCCGATATCATGCCAACTGGACGCCCAGATTCGGACCAAACTTGTTTAGAGCCAAGCCATGCTAAACTCAAATCCCCAGAGTCGGGCCAAAGGTTTGTTGAGATTCAAATCAGTCTAAGGTGGACACCCAGATTTGGACTGCAGGCGTCTTGAGACCCGAAGCAGGCTAAACTTGAAACTCAGAGTCGGACCAAAGCCTTGCTGAGACCCAAACTACGGAAAAATGAACGCCAAGCCGCACGCGGCGTGGCATGTGGCCTTAGTTCACTCTTTGTCTCTGTCTGTGTCTTTCACACAAATAGTACAGCCTTCCCAGAATTTCCGTTTCTGGGTAATACGGACAGACTGAATTGAAATGCAATCGTCGTCACAGACAGAGAAGAAACTGTTCGCAGTCGTTTGGCGGTGGGTAGAAATGGAAAGAGTAAGCTTCATGGCTGAATTCGGGTTGAAAGCGTGGGGCTTAGGTTGAGGAAATTAACCCCAAGCTTTACCAATACATACTCGTCCCTTTACGCACGACAGGTGCTCCATGCGGAAGAGTCCTTCTTTCATGGACCCTTCAACCCAAACCCGATTCCCCACATTCCAGGACCTTACATCCGACGCCGTAAACTCTAAACCCTAAGTCTCGACTCTCGAGGTTCGCGAGAGAGTCATCATCAGGCTGGCGATCTTCCACTATTGGCGGGAGGCCTTGACACTCCACCAAGGGTTTAAGCTTCGGTGCTTCCGGGTAAGGGCTTAAAGTTACAGTATTTAGGGTTTAGGGTTGGGGGTTTCCTTACTGCGTAGGTCTGGGGAAACCGCTTTGAGTTTGATTCAGGCATCAGAGCTTAGAACCTAAACTCTGCATTGAAAAGGTTGTATGCGGAGGGATACATGGGGAGTAGTCTGCAGAGAAGGATGGTGACACAGCCTCAGATTCTCTTTTTGGAAGGCCTCCATGTGGAGCAAGAAGGCCCACTTGCACCACCTCAGGCGCGAGTGAGACATGATCAAGCCGTCAGCCAGTGGCTAAAGACGCTTTCCATGCGTCTGCTGTGTAAAGGTTTAGGCAGGTAAGACCCAGCTTCAGGGCCTCTTCCAAGTTAGGGTCCGGCTTGAGTTTGAGGTACTTTATCCCATCGAGTTGCGAATGCAAGATAGGAGCTGAAGGATTCGTGTGTATTTTCATGCCTCAGGGTTGCCTGGCAGATTATTCGCAGAACAAAACCCTGCACCACGCCCCGGAGCGGCACTTGTCAAACCTCCTGAGCTTTACTGGACCTGGCGAGTTGGTTCTGGTTGGTGTGATGCTAATTATTTTAGGACTGAGACGTCCCAGCAGCGTCCCAGCAAATGGTAATCAAATCCCCAGACAGATCCAGACAGTCTCCAACGTACATCAACAACCTCTTGCAGCAATCCGGTTCTCTAACTACGCAAAGCCTGATGGTATCTTGCAGCTGGTTTTGCAAGTACCTTCTTTGGGATTGCACTGCTGGAAGCCTAACTACGAACTCTCTCGATCCCTCAAATGAACCGGAGAGATGTTCGAGCCACTGGAGCTCTTGCGCTTGCAAAGAATCTCAAGATCTGATCTTCGATTCGGGGGCCCATGATGAAAAAGGTCCATTCTGAGTCGAGTTAGTGGGGCCCTGAACCCTGTTGAGTCCAGACCTCTTCCACAGCAGGGATCCGAGAGCTTCTCGTCAGACAGTTTGCTTCTGCTCAGCACCTTTGATGGGTAGTGACTAGGGTTCTTCAGGCCTTTAAGAGCGGAGTGGTTAGGTTACGAGGAACCCGATGGCCCTCTACGACGAAGCTCGTGCAAGAAAAGCTGGCAATACAAGGGGCTTCGGGCTTGGATAGGAGTTCTTGCTGCGATCACCATGGGATTTTGCGATGGTTCGTCACTCGCATGTCTGTGGTTGCCCCAAAGCCGCTACAAGCCCAAAATCCGAAGCCTTAAACCCCCAAAGCCCCAAAACACCATCGTCCCGCCACATACCAGGCGCCAAGGCCAGGAGATCGCCAGCCACAGCAAAGAGGCCGGTTCTTAGGGTTTGGGGAAGCTTTAGTGGGGTTTCTAGGGTGTTTAGTCTTGGGGTTCAGTGTATGATGTTCCAAAGAGCAGCAATCCTGCAAACATGCTGCCAGCAGGCTACTCTTAAATTGGACTAAGCCTAAGCGCCAAACCCTGCAGCGAGATTTGTTCGTTTTGCAGACGGACAAGAGATCTCAAAAGCACGACATGAACGTAGGCCCGTCGAGCAAGGCAGAGAAGAGATTTCGAAAGCACAAGAACGAAGAATGAACAACCCAGAGGTGAGCCTTCTTGTGACGCAGATGCTGGCTCACCAGCGGGACCTCTCGCTCCTGACAAAGGCCGCCTTCGGTTTCGCACAGGTTCGCACAGTTGATGTTCGGAGGGTTTTCATTCCAGGCTCATGGATGCAGTTCTCAGACAGGGCTTGAGGCGTATGGTTGAGGGATAGGTCTCAAATTGCACTGTGTTCATTTCGTTGCTCAGGTGCGCACGGTTTGGGGTTCAAGATTATTGCTGCGACATTCCCTGAGTGTGAAGGGTTGCTGGCACTGATGATGTTTTTGCTTCACTGTCCCTACAAAATGATGATGATAGTGATGATGAGATGACTGTGAGGATAATGATGGCGACGATGATGATGGTAGTGATGATGATAACGGTGATGGTGGTGATGATGATGGTAATGGTGATGGTGGTGGTGATGATGATGATGACGATGGTGTTTGTGTCTGGGTCTGTGTACACTAAGTGGCCGAGGTTTTGCAGTCTGGTGCGAATCTGTGTGGGATTAGCGGGTGTTGAATCTTGCTCCTAGGGATAAACAGCGCAACCCAAGTTTGCAGTTGGCTGGTTCAGATTGCAAGCGAATCTCCTCACGGCATTGCGCTTAGCAGGACTTCGCCAAATGCTACATGAGGCAAGAGCTCCCGGAATTCTGCCAAATGGCTTATGGCCTGAGGGCCGCGGACATCCAGCATCTTCAGTGTGTTTGATGCTGAACTTGGATGTAAGCTGAAACCGCAAAGCATCGGGGTCTGAACAAGATGTAGCAATACTGTTACCATACAGTCCCAATTTAGTCTTGACATACCGTGCGCCAAAGCCTTTTTGCGATCATATTCAACTCAATACATCTCCGGGAACCCCGTGCGTCAAGCGCCAATCTCTAAACTCGAACTCCTGCCCTGTGTGCAGGTGATGGTCCAGTGGAAGCAGGCTGGCATTTACTCCTGAAGCGGCCAGTAATCGACAAGTATACTTCTGGATTGCGGGTTTGATGAGAATCATAATATGATAGAACGGGGCTCTTTTCGTGTCTTGCCCTTATCAGCTTTAATGCCCAAAACCAACCCCAAACACTAAACTCACACCCTAAGCCACGTTCAATCCACAGCAGGTCGTCGAACGAGAGGCAAACCAACGGTCGCTCGAGCAGAAGGACGAAGAGAACGTCGAAAGGCTCGAGGGCGTTACGGCTGTATCTGTTGTTTAAACGGCTACTATTTGCTTAAGAACCCCCAAAAAATAAAAAATATATTCCTTATGGGGGTAATATAGGGATTATTATTTAATAGTAGTTAAACGGTCTTAATAGCAGGGGCTTGGTGGAATTCTGGGAAAGGCTTCGGGCTTGAGGGGCTTTGGGTGTAGGTTCTTGCGGAGGAGGAACTCGAGACTTTGAGAAGGAGAGCTTGGATGGCAAACTCTATGGAGTGGAGTTTGGATAAACGTTCTTAGGCTGGCATGTGCAACATCTGCCGCAAGATCGCAGAACCACCAACCGTTCTAAGTTTTGACGCGGCACTGCAAGCCCCATGGAACAAAGAAACACTTAAAAGCAACACACGAAGCTCTCTGGAACTCCTATGCAAACTCTGTAAACCCCTTACAAAAACCTCGGCCAGTTCTAGCGCAATTTTCTGAACCCTCAATCAGTTGGCTTCAACCAAAGAGCGTCTCGTATGACTCTTGCAGCGAGCGCAAGTCAATATGATTACTAAGTACCTCTAGCCCGAAACCCACGTTTCCACGTCCCGCAACGCTTCATCTGCTGCCTTCCGCTTCGTGAAGGATCGGGGGACTTGGTACCTATAGCTATTTTCGAGAATAGACGTAGGCCAAATTTGGATTTACCCCTGGCTGCTAGACCCCCTGATCCTCATGAAGTATTGAACAATCCCACAGGGTAAAGACCTCCGTCCACAACGAGCGTGTCGCCGGCTCAAAGCGTGCGCAGGCGGCCACCATTCCGATGCTTTGGTTTTCTGTTTGTCTCATACACAGGCAGCAAGGTCGTCGATCAGCGAGAGTTGAAAGGGACACTTGCAGGACAGAGGGGTCAGGGGGCGAGTTTGTGTGTGCATGTGTGCGGGTTTGTCTGTGTTTGTGGGGCTGTATCAAGCGGGCAACGTGACCCCATTGGGAGCACCTGGAACCGTTTGTCCGTCGTGGATTCGCGAGCTAGTGGCATTGTGTGATCCTCAAAACTGTCGTGTAGTGGTTCAGGCCCCTCAACTGTAAGAAGCTTTCCAGTCCACATCCTAGCGAACTGCAGTCCTGAGTTTGTTGGGGTTTCGCCTTTTTGGCCGTTACACAACCGGGGAAATCTGTCACTCCAGAACCTGTTGCGTTGGATAGGTCCTGGTGAAGTGGCTGCTGCACCTCGAGCTCCAGAACCAAGCTAAGTGGCTGGCTGCTTGGTCTGGCGAGGCTCGAAGAACTTCATGGGTTACATCGCCCTTCTTGAATTACTGTTCTTGCCGTCCGGAGTGTTATTGGTGTCTTCTTTGCTTTGGGGATGCGTCTGTAAAGACCTGACCCAAGCGCTCTGCAGGTGAAGTACGCCAAGATTGTGCGCAAGATGGAGGCAGCCGCCTTCTTCCAGCGAAGGGAAGTTCGGCATCTGCGCGTGCTATCTCTCTCTACATAGATTATATATGTATGTATGTATGCATGTATGTATGTACGTATCTGAGTATGTATGTATGTATGTATGTATATATGTAAGTATGTACGTCCGCAAGTACGTATGTATGTGTGCGGGTGTGCGTGACTAACTATGTACGTATATGCATGCATGTATGTATACAAAGTTATGTATACATGTGTACCATGTGCATGTTGACGGTCGCCGACCCGAGATCTGGCCGCGTACTTTTCGGATTTTCCGAGTTGTGGGATGAGCTTCTGCGGTCCTTGTCTAGCTCTTGGAGGGGGGGCAATCGTGGTGTTAACTTTCTTGTATGGTCTTGGTGCTCTTGGCTTAGCTTGTGCAGCGGCCCTACAGTTTCGATGAGGTTGTCAGACTTGCGACAGATATACTTTGTCATGCAGGTTCTTGGTCCCAAACTTAGGTCGTGGCACAATGCGCCAAACATATAGCTACTTCGAGCATTCAGGAAAGGGCTGGGGTTAAGTGTCGGGTTCCGAGGGGGTGCAAACCTTGAGCATTAAACCGTACCTATCCGTGAGAAGCTCCTGTCTAGAAGATGCAGCGCACCAAGCTTCAGTTCCGAAGCCTGTCGACAAGTCGTGATTGTTCTTCCGTATAGGTTCTCGTGTGTGCTGAGCTGTTGCAACCGTCGTTCATGACAATACTGTGGCTTGTGTTTGATCCGTTTCCGTGCTACTCGGCTGCTACTCTTGACCACAGCACTCTCACTACATGTGCAAGTGGTTCAGTAGCACTGTGACCTCACGCTCTTTAGCTTTCGGATTCTAATCCTTCCCAATAGACACCTGACTTGTTCTGCATGTCCTAAACTCCAACTTCTTCAACCCAAAGCCCCAAGCCCAAAGCCCTGGATCCTCGACCCAAAGCCCTCGCCCCACAAACCCAAAGCCCAACAGTGTCGTCCCTCTCTCACGCTGTTCTCGCCCATGGTGTCGAACGTGAGGGCGACAAGGAGGCCCACGATCTGGCCATGGTCGAAGTCGAGAACAAGATGGAAAAGCACCAGGACTGCCTGCCTACATCCCCCCGCCCACTGAAGACTAAAACGCTGAACCCTCAACCCCAACACTCCAAAGGCGAAGCTTTTTAAAGCAAAGCTTTACAGTTCACATGCACATCTCTGCTAAAGGAGTTGCACCTCCCGCTTCGTCGGATCTTATCATTCTATATATCCTTGTATTGTATTCTTTGCTTTCGTTTTAACTCTACCCTGTCATTTCTTTCGTTGTCTGCTTAATTGCGTTTCTACAAGATGACCTCAAGTACTGGAGAGGGCAGTTTCTAAGTGCATATTCGTCAATCCTGTATACATACGTACACACATACATATATGTATATATATATATATATGTAGGTCGTATACAGATAGATACATACGGGAGTTACAAAGGGATACTGCTATTTAGCTACTCACGGTCAAGCCCTGGAAGCTCTTGAGGACGCCTTGGTTCCTTATTGGCTTCGTCTCAAGCGTCTCTTGGACTGGAGTTAAGGGTGTAAGGGTTGGGGTTTTTGGGTTAGGGTTTTGGGTTTATAACGGGCTTTTTGGGCTTAGGGGCTTTCGGGTTTCAGTTTTAGGGTGTTAAGGTTTATGGGGTTTAAGGGGGTTTGGCCTCCGGGCATAATATAGAGCTTGAGGTCTAGGGGGCTGATATTGTGGGCGCGTGTCGGGCTGTGAACCAGGTCCGGGGGCGAAGAGTTCCGCCCGGATAGTGCAGGCTTGAGTTTTACGGTTCAAGGTTCAAGCTCTCCTCTACAGTTACAGCATGTTGTCGAGGTGGTGCTGACCATGTCCATGTCTTGTGTGCCTACACCGTGTGTGCATGTGGTGGATAATCCACTCCCCGCTCAGATTTGGCTTCCTGGTCTCGTTACAAGCATAGTCTTTGTTGGTTACCATGGTTCTGTTCGCTTGCGCTGCTTGCGGCGATGCAGGAAGAAGCCAAGTGCAAGAGACATGTTCAGCCTTCCCCTTGCGAGGGCAAGGCTCCATTGCAAAGAAGCTCATGATGAGAATCGATCTTACGAGTTATAACCCACCGAACACACTCTATAGTCTGACCTGCTTTATGGTCGCATGGCCCGATGTTCCTCAAGTTGACCTCTAGTTCTTTAGGAAGCGGCACAAGAATCAGGTCCTACCGTGTTTCTCCGTCTGCCTAGCCTCTGTCACGAAAGCTCGTCGCTGCAAGAAGCTGAGTGGCACCAAGTATATAGTGGATCTAGTCCGAACCATCATGGGCAGAACACAGCAAAGAGCACAGATTTACTAGTAGAGCGCCCTACATTGCGTCAACTTTTCCCTGGATGGGTGTGATTGCGGAAGCTTTTTCTTCGCTACCATCTCCTTGGTTCTCTGGTGGCCATGTATTTGGGCCTTCGCTGCCCAGGTCAGATGGTGTTGATGCGCTACTTCCCCGCGTTCATCTTCATCCCCTACGTCTCGCTCTGAGCGTGTGGGCCGTCAGGCTGAGGCTGTGAGACTTCGCCGATACCGTAAAGGGCTCGGATGCGGTTAGACCCTATAGACTTTACCTTGATAAGACTAAGCCACAAGACCCTCAAGCGATAAGCCCGGCCGAGTTTTGAGATGTTTTTCGGCAAGAACAGCTCATCTAGTCTTATCGCTGACATGTGCATACATTCGTTAGAGACCTTGTCAATGCGGTTGTGCGCACTGTGATGCTCCTGCCAAGATGAACCATTCCGAAGCGCATCTCCAAAAGACGATCGAGAAGATCGCCCGACATGTTGGCACTTGCCAGCGAGGGTCGTATTGTGGTATGTTCTTCTATACGGGGCTTTCTTGGTTCGGAGTTTAAGGCTCCTGGGATGTCGAGTGCTTTGGCCTGTGGCGGCTATGATGTCAAAGTATACCCTGAACCCCTAAACCCTTAAGCCCTTAACCCCAAACCCTAAACCCCTAAACCCCTAATGTTGAAACCCTCACAGTCAGGCATGTCCACGAGCGCATGTGATCATGAGGCACTTGTTCTGTGCATGTTGAAGCCTAGAAGGCACAAGCAGTTGAACGTTGGCCAGAGTGGCCGCGCAGCATCCGCATGTCGGCAGTACAGGGTTAGTGCAAAGCACGACTAAGCAGGCATGCATTGCTAGCACTTCAGATCAACGTTGCAGTCGCGGAAAACAATTCGGAAGTTGGGCCTTCGCAGTGTGCCATGGCAAGCATTAACGGGATCCAAGAAGGGACCTCTGCTCCTTTGTTTCAGCAGGGTATGAGCCCAACGCTTGACGGTGAAGACAATGGACCCAACTATGCCAGAGGCGATCGTGAACCACGGCGTGATGGGAGTGTGTCAAGGGGTTCTATGGATCCTGCTCCCATGTTGAATGGAGCCCCTGCTGCTTCTCAGGCACATGTTCGAGTACCTCCGGTTCTGCCCGACTCAGGTCAGTCAAGTGCAGTTGTGATGGAGGGAAACCCGAGTGCTGTAATGGAGAATCAGCAACTAGCCCCGGTACATTGCGAAGGTCATGAAACTATGCCTCAACCCCTACCGGAGTCTGCTCTAGAACGACATGATGCTCCGATGTATACAACTGGTGGTGAGCCTTTGTTTGCAAGGTTTCAGCCGTCACCACTCCCTGGTCAGTCTCCAGTGTCTGAAGCCGGCCAGGGGAGTAATCGGGCTGGAACTTGGTTTTCGCGTTTGGGAGACTACATCCAGAGAAGGGTAGAAGTTACGTCGTGGACATCTGCCCAAGCTGCTACAGGTTCGGTGGAGGGCTGGCCAGTGTCTTCCCCGACGGCATCTCCAATGGTGAGGGTGCCACAACAGGAGGAGCCTAGGGCACCCTCGAGTAGCGGTTCAGTGGGAATTTCTCCTGAGGCTGTGCAGGCAGAGGTGGCAAAGCAGTTGGAGGCAGCTATGGGTGGCGTTCTTCAGAGACTCCAGGTTGAGAAGTTGAGAACCGAGGAGGCAATGCAAGAGGCGCAGAGATTGAGGAGGCAGCTCGAACCTCAGCAAGCGCGTATGAATATGGAATCTTCGTATGTGATGGTTGCCCCTAAACCTCCTCTTCCTCTAGCGAGCCCTGGAGTAGTACCAGAAGTTCCATCAGATCAACCTCCTCGGGGTCCTCATGAAGGGCATGTAGATGCGGGAGTACCTGTTCAAGGGCCTCTACGACTACGGGGTCTTGCTGAAGGTTGTTCAGGTGAGATTGTACCTCCTCCAGCACCACTTCGGCTACCGCATCCTCCCACAGGTGATGGAAGCTCTCGACTTTTCGGCGGGGATCTTGGTTTGGCCCCAGGGAATAGTTTCCGGAATGCTATGAGCGCTGGAGTACCAGAAGTTCCAGCAGATCAACCTCCTCGTGGGTCGGTTTTTAGTGATGCTACTAGGACGCGCGGGAGATTACAGTCACCCACTGGTCCGAGGGCATTCTTCCAGGGTCTCTTCGGCATGAACACTGGGGTTCGTGATGATAGACCGTCTGCAGACTATGGCGTGCAGTCTAGCAATACCCATGCACTTCCACGCCCACCACAACCTCCTTTACCACCTCCAATTCAACCACCACTTCAATCTCAGGAGCCCCGTGATGCGACAGATCAACGAGATGGTCAGCTCCTCTTGACCTTGGCGCGGGGCATCGAAGCCCTCTTGACCCAACAGCATGCTGGGAAGGGTGATCGCCCAGAGGCGGTCAAACCAGGCATCAACGAGCTTCCGACTCTCCCGGAGTACGAGCCGGCCACGGGATCCATTGATCTTCTCCACTGGATCACTCACATTGGTCCGATAATGGAAGACCTTTCGGATACGAGCTCGGCTTGGTGGCATGCGACAATGCAGGATGCGCTGCAGTGGTACTCGAGATATAGTACGGCACCTCCTCTAGAAAGACTTCAGTTGAAGCCGCAGCCTTCCTTGGAGTTGTCGAAGCCGGAGTGGAGCCGCGTGAAGCGGCGGGCAACCGCGATGTTACTCACGGCAGTGCCGAAATCCGTGAGAGAGGAGATCATCGCCTACGGCAAGGTCACTTCCCTCAGTGTGTTGTGCAAGTTGTATGCAGTGTATCAACCAGGGAACCTTCAAGAAAAAGGGCTGGTGTTGCGGATGTTGGAGCAGCCACAGCCCTGTAATACAGCTTTGGAAGCTGTGGAGGGCCTCAGGCGATGGAGTTTGTGGCGCACGAGGGCGACTACGATTGGCATGGCGGAGCCGGACGCTTCGGTGTTGATCCGAGGACTGGACAGAATCACCAATGCGGTGATTCAAGGAAGCGGAGAACTTTCCTTCCGCATCAGTTTGATTCGCAGTACGCTTCAGGTGGATGTGAGTCCGAGCGCATCGACGGTGACCTCTTTCCTTCAGCATCTCCAAGCGGAAATGGAACAGCAGGCCCGATTGGGGGCCGCCACAACAGGAGGAGGAACGACACCGTCTCTGAAGGCCATCACCACAACCACCACATCCACTACCCCTTCACCTTCACCCGACAATTCTACCTCTACTCCATATACAAGGCCAAACGGCGGTGTGTGCAAGTTCTTTGCTGGAGATCGAGGTTGCAGAAGGGGAAATACATGCCGTTTCCCTCACACGTGGAGCCTTTTGGAAAAAGGGGCCAGATCTCGGAAGTGTCTTTGTTGCGGAGCGGTGTCCCATAAGGTCAAAGAATGTAAGGCCCCGGGAGGTGGAGCTTCTACAACGAGGGTGGCAACGCCAAAATCAGGAGCACAAGGAGCGGGCGAGACTGGATCTACTTCGCCTACGGCGTCTTCTCCGGACGCAAGTGCTCGCAGGGTTACCTTTGATGGTGAAGCGATCCAGACCAAAGCCTTGAAGGTGTTGGATCAGGTAACGTGTTTGCCTTTGTTCCGGTCGGTGATGAGTGCTGTGTCTCGGTGGTCACAGGGGACACCGCCTTCTCCGAGATCGAGGGCGGCCTTGATGGATTCGGGATCCACCCACATCTTGCGAGGGCCGAACAGTTCGGAGGAGTGGGAGAAGGCGAATGCTGTTCAAGTGAAGTTGGCAGGTGATGCTGTGGCTTCTATGAGACAGACGGACAAGGGAACGTTGCTCAATCCTGATGATGTGGCGCAGGTTATTGTGACATTGGGAAGAGTGATTTCAACGTTGGGCTTCCGCCTCAATTGGACACCGGAGTTCTGTCGTTTGGAAGGCCCAGACGGAGAGATGATTCCTTTGTCGGTGACCAATGGATGCCCGGAGGTGGATGACGAGGTCGCCCGTGAGTTGATCACCAGATTGGAGGATTCCCATCTTCCTAGTCTTCAGGAGACCACTGAAGCATCAGTCCAGATGCTGAGGAAGGTTCGTGCTAGTTGGTGGTCCTGCTTGCTGGAGTATGTGAAAGATGGTGATGTGGCAGCGGGACGCGAGGCGGTGGAGAAGGCAACTTTCCTGGGCTACAAGGAGACTCTTCTGAAAACCCTGGTTGTGAGAAGGCCTAAGCAAGGAATTTGGGATCTGATGAAATCATTGAGTTTGAATAGAAGATCCCGGAAGCGCCTCCTCAGGTCGTCGTCTTGGGTGGTGAGATGGGACTCGCCTTCGGTGGATCGTATGGCAGACCCTCTTCGGCATCTGAGTCAAGTGGGTGATACCATCTACGTGAACATGAACACTTTGTTGGTCGCCAATGAGTTTGAGGACCTTTGGAAGGTTATGATGTGGGCGGCCACTATGGGAAGAATAAGTTCTGCCCAGAGCTTCCAAAAGACACTATTTAAGAAAACGCACCTTATTTAAGGAATTGTGCGGGAAATAATTGCTTAATTAAGGTCTTTTTCCTTATTTAAGGTGTTTTTCTGGAAAAAGTTGCTTAAATAAGGGGTTTTGGTCCTTAAATAAGGTGTGTTTTCTTAAATAAGGTGTTTTTCCTTAAATAAGGTGTTTTTTTTTGACACCTTAAATAAGGTATGGTATTTTTTATTCGTCATGTTATTGTATGCTTGTGTGGTGTATGCGTGTGTCTGTGTGTGTGCGTGTGTTTGTCAGTACGTGTCTGTGTGTGTGTGCTTTGTGGCCGGTTGTTTTTCCGCATCCGTGCAAGTCTGCAGCTCAGGCCAGTGTTGGCAACCTCCTGTTGTTGACACAAAACTTGCTAAGCATTTGCTTGGAAGTGCCTTTCATCGAGTACTTTCCTCCACGACGTTTTGCGTGGAGGGACAACACATGGCCGAAGCCCTCGTCTCGATACGTCCACGTCTCGCTGGGCCTGCGCTTTTGGCGGCCCAGCTCGAGAAGCAGGTGCATCTTGGGCTTTGTCCTAAAATATGTTTGCCCTGGGAATTTACTCAACTCTACAAACAAAGCTGCAAACTTATTGACAGTCTTGTGAAACTTCTCGGCATCCCAATGCCTTTCGGACAAGAACTCATAGCAACTGTGCAGATGCTTCGCAGTCTGCCTCACCGTTCGCTCGAAATCTGAATTGCCCATGTGCCTTTCAGCGCATTCCTTGGCGAATCCGATGAGGTCGCGAGCCTCGCCGGCTTTAGCCCGCAACTTGGGCCACTTCTTGTTTTTGCCTTTCAGCATGAGCGGAGTCAACGTGCTCATGCGGGACTGGGACAGGTTTCGGCGATAATAATTTTGAATATCGCCAAAAAGGTTCTTGCAGCGATCGCTCGGGGAGCTTTGTCTGCACGACCATATGAAAAAGCCCACCCATGTAGTCAGCTGCACATCCTAAATCCATGCAGTGAAGCCAATCAATGCAGCACTTCTGTACTGA